CTTCTCTCCTTCCTTCCCTCCTTCCTTCCCTCCTTGCTTCCCTCCCTCCTTCCCTCCCTCCTTCCTACCCCCCTTTTACATTTGTATGTGGACTTTAATGTACATGTACAAAAAAGAGCCTCCATCACATAAAGGTGCTTTTTCACCTAAAGGTGAAAATAAAGGGCAATTGGACTGTCTTTGTTTTTCCATGTGTATGTTTTGGTTCTCATCCAAAAAGCTTCTTCAGTTCTTACTAAATGGTAGGAGAATAGAAGTCATCTGGGCGTTAGCATTCTTTCTGAGAGTCGAGAGGCCACTTGGAGGTTTATCTGTACCTTTAGGGTCACCTGAATAGTGCAAATGACTGTGGAACCTTTTTTCCCCTTCCATTCCCCATCATTCAGACAGAACTGAAGAAGTTTCTTGGATGAGAAACAACACATCTTCAAGGAAAAACAAAGAAACTTTGTTTGCTCCTTTGGGACAACCATAACCTGGACAATGGAGAATCTCCATAAACACTTCTATGACATGACCATGAATACCATCTACTTTCATAAAAAAAAAATGTTTTATTATACCATATTTCCCCAAATAAGACCCATCCCAAAATAAACCCTAGTCTGATTTTTGGGGTGGGCTTAATATAAGCCCTACCCCAAAAATAACCCTAGTGGGATGGGCATGGCCACCACAAGAGGTGGCAATTGCATGGGAGTTGATGGTGTCCAGCAGTTGCAGCCCACCAGCCCTTTGGTGCAGTGTAGATAAGTCAGAGGTGGGGGGGGGAGACAGGCAATCCAGATATGCTGTGCAGCTGCCTTGCTCACGTGAGGCTCGTGGAAGGCTTGCACAGTGGAACCAGCAGCAGGAGGAGGCAGAGGCATGGGTGGGAGACAGACAAAAGCAGATGGTGGGAGGAGGCAGGCGGGCGGGTGGCTGCAAAATAAGACATCCCCTGAAAATAAGACCTTTTAATCTTTTAGTCCAAAAAAATTAAATAAAACCCAATCTTATTTTCAGGAAAACGCAATATTACTATAAAACATACTTACATTACATGTTATTATATGGATCTGGAAATATTGTCATAAAACATATTATTTTGATATAGTCATATTTATATAGTACTAGCTGGATACCTGTGCTTCATGACGAAACTATGTGATCAGGCAATGCAGAAGAAATCTGGTTCACTCCGGTTCAATTCTTCTTTTCAGGTAAGGTGAAGGAGTAGAATGTCTAACTCCTTAGCATCAGAGCGTGTTAATACAAGGCAACTGGCAGTTGCAACAGAGTTCTTTGCAGGTGGGAAGGGGGAGTAGAATTCCTTAGCATCAGAAGTGTGTTAATTTCTGTATAAGAAATACTAATGAACTGATGGTCATTTCAACAAATCCTTTCTTAGCAAGTACCTAGAAGCTAAGAGGAGCGAGCATATGTGTCAAATTTCAAATTTGTAGGCTTTATGGTTCTGGAGATGAGTGAGTGGTATTTGCCTTTCATATATATAGATTGACCAGAGATTATTAAAACTCTAATCTTTATTTAACTTACACCTTTAAAGATAGGAAAAAGGTACTATATCAGTATTAACTCTGATTTTGAAATGTTGAAGTTAATAAATGTACTGTAAGATTTGCTTAGATTTTACACCTAAAGCTGAATATAACATTCATAAACAATTTCAAATTATATCAAAATGTTTATTGTACAATAAAGGTTTCTGTCTTTAGCTGATTTTTAATAAAGTCTCCACTGTACTGTCATCTTATTGTTGTTTCTGTATGTTGAAAAAGAGAAAAGAAACAAAGCAAAAATAGGCAACAACTAAAAGAAAAATAGAAGGGGAGAAGGGCTGTTGGTGTCTAACTTCCTCCTCTTTGTGCTTCTGCTAATTTGCAATGATTAACATAAGCCTAACATAAACAGTTAGGCCCCCTTGGAAGCCAAATTGTTAAAGTTTGTATCTGCCATGCTGTGTGATATAGTTATGTATTCTTGCTTAAACTTGGTTCAACCTCTGTTGGGGCTATATAGAGTTAATTTTGCCACTGCTGCATATTTTCCAAGTTCAAATTCCAGTTAGATACTCTCAGAATTATATCTTTCTTTCAGAGTTGCTGGGCAAAATTTGTTCTCACTTTTCTGAGTGTGTATATCAATAAGCCAACACCCTGCCCCCTCCCCTCTGCTGTTGACTCCAGCATTTCTCTGATTCCATTGACTGATTCACCCTCGGTAGTCATCCTTATCAATAGATGAATTTTATTGTTGTACTTTTCATTAAAGTGATTGCATTATTACTGACTTTGCCACAATTTATTATGCAAAGATGTTGGTCAATTGTCTGGCTGGATCATTTTCTGGGCTTTTCCTTCCCTCCCCCTTTTCTCCACAATCATTCAATTATAGTCAGAATAAAGGCCAAGGCTCAAAGCTTTAAAGACATACAACAACAATTGAGCCCAAATTTGCTGCTGCTAAATGACACAGTTGTTAAGTGAAGTTAAGTAAACTTTGCTCCAATTTATGATCTTTCTTATTGCAGTTGTCAAGTAAATCACTGCAGTTGGTAAATTAGTAACATGTTTGTTAAGTGAATCTGGCTTTCCCATTGACTTTGCTTGTCAGAAGGTAGCAAAAATGGATCATATGACCCCAGGCCACTGCAACCGTCATAAATATGAACCAGATGCCAAGCATCCAAATTTTGATTATGTGACCATAGGGATGCTGCACTGGTCATAGGTGCAAAAAAGCCATTTTTTTAGTGCCGTTATAACTTTGAATGGTCACTAAAATGAACCGTTGTAAGTCAGGAACAACTTGTACAAATGTTCCCTATTAAGGAAAATGGTCAGAAATTTGTTTATATATATATATTATATAAATTATTTATCAGCACAAATACAGGTTTTCGCGGGTGTTAGTATGTAGGTCTTTGGTTATTCGGGTTTTGTTCTCACNACTGAACACAGTGAAAGATGAAATGAGACAGCTACAAATTGACATCTTAGGCATCAGGGACTGGGATTGGACACAGTTTACTATTCAAGACATGGAAAACAAAACAAAACAAAGCCAGAAAAGAAAAGAAAAGAAAAGAAAAGAAAAGAAAAGAAAAGAAACGGTGTTGCTTTTATAGTTAGGAGAGGTACAGGAAAAGCAGTACAGGGCTACAATATAACCAATGACCAAACAATATCAATTAAACTTAATCAGCAAACACTTTAATACGATGATCATCATCGTATTAAAGTTGTTGCTTCTTCTGATGCAGGAAAAGAGGAGGCTGGTGAGTTTTGTATAAAGCTCCACTTAAAACCAACAGAACAAGATACCCTGCTTGTGATTGGAGACTGGCTAAAGTTAGAAACATTAAAGAGAATGTGTAGTTGAATTGAATGACATAGGAAACCAAAATTAACTTAAAGAGCATTTTGTCAATTTCTCCCAAACTAATGACTTCTTCATTGCTAATACTGACTTCAAACCAAAATGGTGTCCGTAAATACGGACCTGAAGAAAATTGGAATCAAATTAACCACATTGTTGTTTAGAAATTGTTGTTGTTTAGGAAATAAACAATGTTGCTCAGGGTAGCATCAAACACATGGACAAGTACCAACTAAGAAATAGATTATGAGCTGTCCATGTTCAAGTTGCATTTTGTGGCATATAAACACCGCGTTCAAGGGAATCACCAGGAATTGCTTTGACAAGAAACAGCGGAACTATGGGATAAACTTAAGGAAGTTACTAAGGAGAAATGTGAAAAGAGAATGCCAAAATGAAGAGCAAACTGAATGGCAGAAGAATCAGTGGAAATTATCAAAAAAAGGAAAAGAAAACCTAACCAAAGAAGGACAAAACCCTTAGGAAAGAATTTAGGGGGGAAAATTTAGAGAACTTGGTTTTAGAAAAACCAAGAAGTATTAGAACATTTATGAAGACATTAAGGATGAAAATAGACATAGAAAGTTAAGAAGAGTCTTCCAAAAATTCTCTGAAATCAGAGGTTCCATCCTTAGCTATGCTATAAATGCCAGGGGTTAGACTGCAACCAGTTCAAAGAAAATCAAACAAAGATGGGAGGAGTATATTGAAATACTATATGATATAACAACATATATTGAAATATTGCATAATAGTTCAATATTTTGGCTAGTGGGGTGTGGGAAGATAGCCTTCTCTGCTATTACCTCCATCCTATGGAACATCTAGCCTTACAGAAGAGCCTGAAGTTCTGGCTCTGCCAGCTTGCATGGGAATCTATGAGTAGTTGGCAACCTTGTTGGTGGTTGATTGCTTGAAGTACTTCCTCCACTTTTTTTTTTAAAAAAAAAAAACTTTTAAATTTTGCTTTTAATTCTCTTTTTAAATATGTCTCTGATTGACTTTTTATATGTATCTATGGCTTTTCTTTGTTAACTGCCCACAATTACTCAAAAAATGAAATGGGTGGTATATGTAATAAATAACTAAAATAAAATAAATAAGATGAACATAGACGACCCAAGTCAAAAAATGAATAAAGTTTCTAACCAAGCCGGCAAATCTCCAGAATGACAATTTGGAAGAAGTCAATTGGCATTCTGATATCATAAAAAGGAGACTTAACAAAATGTAATTGTTGTACAATCTTCTTAATTTCACAAAATTATGTTTAGGATCATCCAACACAGTTTAGAGCCTTACATAGGAGAGAGATGCCAGAGGTTCAAGACAGCCTTCGAAAGGTCTGAGAAAAATAAGACATTATTACTGATTCATGCTATTGAAAATGCCAAATAATACTAAAAAGAACTTCTTTATGTGCTTCATTGATTATAGAAAGGCCTTTGATGGTGTCAATTGCATCAAGTTGTGGAATGTGCTTACAAAAATAAGGATCCTAGAAACTCATTGTCGAGACGCCACCACAGTCTGGCTTCAGATTAGCAAAAGAGTGAGACAAGGCTGCATACTCTCTTTTTATTTACTCAAATCTACGGAGAAGATAAACTGAAGGCACCTGGATTGAAGGAAGATGAATGTGGCTTTAAAACTGGAGGAAGAAACATCAATAACCTATCTATGGTGATGACACTATTTTGATGCTAAAATTATAGTGATCTGAAGCTCTAATAATGAAAGTCAAGGAGCAGCATGAAAAATAAATAGGACTACAGTTTAATAGAATAAAAATTAACAACCAACGTTAGAATTGACAAAGAAGGTATCAAAGTGGTGCATAGCTTCTGCTTTTTAGAATTGCCCATCAACAAACAATTCAAGGAATATGTTGCACTGGAGCACTTAGTAGCAATGAAGACCTTGGAAAATATACTGAGATATTGGGATGTGTCTATAATTGCACATAACAGAAATGGGCACGAAGTGGTTTTCTCTGTGATTTTCCATGCAACTAAAAGTTGGACTTGAAGAAGCAGGTTTGAAAGAATATTAACACTTTTGAATTTTGATGTTGGAGAAGATTCTTGAGAATACCATGGATAGCCAAGAACACAGACAAATGGATCATCAAACAAATCAAGTCAGAGCGACTGAGACTGAATGATCAAACAGGTCTCCTGCTTTGGATACATTATGTAAAATTGGAAACCGTTATGTAAAAACTTAAGTCTCTTGAAAAATCAATAATGCTAGGAAAAAAGGAAGACAAGAGAAGAAGAAGATAATCAGCAACAATATGTCCAAAAACATTTCCATGGTCATGTGGCCAGCATTGCTATATGCCCAGGTGCATACAATGCTATTACCTTCCCACCAATGTGGTACCTATTAATCTAGTTGCATTTGCATGCTTTCGAACTACTAGGTGGGCAAGACAATCTGGAACCCAACTGATCTTCTCCAGTTATACATAATAATTCAGCTACCCTGGATTTTTCCACCAATGGTACCGCTTCCCATAACAGAGAGGTACCTTAAGACACACACTAAGAATTACATTCAGGAAAGGGAACTATTTCAACATGCATTTGCAAAGAGTGAGATAACTGTTAATAAACTGAAAATACCTCCTTCAGATCCAATCTAATTTTGATTATTTCTGTGGTCTTAGGCTGGGCAATCAGCATACAGTGCATGCCATGGTAATCAAGAGCTGCATGTATCATTAGCAGGCGTCAGCAATAAATGAACACAGAACCTTTAATTTTAAGTTAAAAGATAACACATTGATTAATAGCCATTGGATGATTAGTCAAGTCAAGGTTTTAATGCAGAATGGAGGAATTCATCCATTATCTGCTCAGCATAATTCTTCTCTCATCTTGGAGACTTTAAAAACAACCACGGAAAATTACTGTCCCTCTGTAAAGGCTTTTGAATTTCATATGCATTTAATTAGATAACTGCCATCCCAAGGACAGAAACCATGACAAATAGTTGTTCTATTCAAATTAAAAGAATAGGCCGCTCAATGAACAATATTGATGTTCTTGCATACTCCGTAATACAGGAGTCTGCTAGTTTTTCCTTTAATTTATTTAACCTTTTACCATTTAATGTGTTTTTAAAATGCAGGTTTGGTTTATACGTGGGTGTGTTATTTAGTTCCCTAAACAACAAATTTTTATCAGCTGTAATGCATAATATACATACATACATACATACATACATACATACATACANTTTTTTAAATTCCCTTTTGGTCGGAGAGCAAAGCAACCAGCGATTCGCACGGGCCACCATCCTCGCGAAGGCCTCCGGAGGCAGGCAGGGATTGTTCCCGTCCGTCCGGAACCTCCTCGCAACACGCGTCCCGGACTCTCCGGCGGAGTCCCTCTCCCAACAACTCCCTCCTTCCCCAGCCTGCCTTACCTGTTTGCCGTCATGCCGGTGCCGCACCAGGCTCACTTCCCCGTAGCTGCCCTTCCCCACAACCCGCAGAAAAGTGTACTCGATCAGGGGCATCTTCACGCGACCCCACACTCAGGTAGCCCGTTGAGAGCCGGGAGCGGGGGGACTCCGGGAGCCCCCATCCATCCCCTGCGAGGACGCTGCTACCGATGCCATAGAGATCACCAAACCTCGGAGTGCCATAGAGAGCACTACTTCCAGAACGTACAAAAGACAAAAAACCGTCCTTCTATTTTCTATGGTAATATTACTGTTGCTTGAGCGACCATCTTCGTCACGGGCAAATTTTCTTCGGCGCATGCGTTCAACCCTGCTATCTACACTATTTTAACTGCTTGTCAGCCATTTTAGTTCTGGGCATTCTGGCTAGAGTTTTGAAATTGCTGCCTGAGTTGTGGACGATCGTGTTCCTTGCCTTTTTAGATTCGTTAGCGTTGTTGTATATCTAGACAGCTTAGTGGAAAGACCAGGCCTTCCATATATTGTTCATAATTTGCTATGGGCAAATTGATATGAATGGAAAGCTGTTTATATTACAAATATTTTTAATATTTAAGGAGAGCAGAACTGACTTTGCATTTTGTTGCTGACATACAGCTCCCATAATCAGAATGGCCAGTGATGCAGTACCACACTATCTGGTGACCTAAAGAGCCACTGCTGCTGCACAGTAAACAGTAAACCTGAAAAGGTTTTATTTTAAAGCAGATCTGTCCTGTAGGCTTAAATAGTTTTCTTCTCATTCCAGGATCTCATATGATAAAATCTTTTCACATTTATTTGAAGTATCTTTGGAGTCAGTGTGCATCTTGCTCCTAAACAAGACTCACTTCCAATATGAATTTGTTGGGATTAATGTTAGGGGGTCCTCGCTCAGATATAGCTGGGATGTCATTTGTATTCTATCATGGATTAAGAGATTTTCCCCACTGTTCCTAAATCACCTTGGATGTAGATAACTGCAACACGTTGAACATGGGGTTAGCTTGAAGACCACTCAGAAACTAAAATGGATTCTGAATGTAAATAACTATTGGAACGTCTTGCTTTGCCCAGGTGACTCCTTCACTTTCTGCATTGCACTGGTAATTGGTTGGCTTCTGGTGCAACTCAAAAAGTACTGATTGTTGTCCATAAGGATTTACATTATGTGGGATATGATTATCTGCAAGACTGCTTCTCTCTGATTGATTCCTACCCATTTGGTAAAATCTAGCAGGAAGGCATGGTTTTGTGGTCCCATCACAAAAGAACTGCACCAGAGATGGGCCTTCTCTGAAACCATTCCTACTGTTAGGATTAGCATTAGTCAAATGGGTCACTGAGTGCCCAGATATAGGAAGACATATAAATGCCCCCACAAAAAAAGCTGTTAAGCTTTCAACTACTATGTCAGAAATGGACAATCCTGAATAGAATTTGCACCTCACACAGCATCTGCCAAGACTCTCTGTTTAAATGGGACATAGTATTATCTACTCAGTTTGACTGAGGGGTCCCTTGTCAAACTATAGATCACATCATGACTGGCTGTAACATGAGTATCCGATTTTTTAAATATAAACAATGCTGCGCTTCAATAGTTAGATGGCCTAGACAGTGTTACTTCAATATATATCATTTTAACATTTAAATTTTATTGTGTTTTACTTATCTATATTGCATGTCCATCTATGATTTGCCATTGAATGAATGAAGGAATGAATGTGAGGATTAGCATTTCTTCTGAGATCCAAGTGGGCTGATTAGGGAAGCTATAAAACATGGATTCATAACCCACTTGATAAATATTATATGGCATTTTGTGTTCTTTAAATAGCGTATTTTATTTCTGAATTCTGTTGTGTTTTTGCAATAGAACCTACTGGAGTTTATGCAAACACAATGGGTGTCTGAAGATTGAAACAAGGATTATTTCTGTTCAGGAGGCATCCTTGTCCTTTTCCCAGATACTCTGCTCCACTTCCATCTCCATTTGCTCTCTTTACTTTCATCCAGCCATCAATCTTTCTCATAAGAAATTATTGTTGAGATGGAATCGCTCTTTAGAGTTTTCCTCTTTAAAGTTATTTTTCTGACATTTATTCAAGCTCTCATTTTTTTCTATATCTCTTGCTCTACTTTTGTACACAGAGGGTGCTTTTTTAATCTCTCTCTACAATTGAAAAATGTTTTTGGGATTAATAGTATATAGGAAAAGCATTTTTCCATAGAACAGGAACTTTGTCCTTCAGACCACCAGGAGGCCTCAGGGCTCTTTCAGCCCGACATGGGACAATTTGTCCCAATTCCTTTCTATAATCCAGTGTTTCACAGACTAATAAATCAGCTTTAGACAATTTCAGCTAAGAATTAATTTTACATTCCCAAAAATTCTTTAACATCTATGCTGTACTTTCTAAGATATTATCTTTGTTGAAGATAATAAAGATCTCTTTATTCTAGATATATTAGTTTATAATCAGAGTAGAGCAATTGTCACATTATCTGTGAGAACTATATCAAGAAATTTTTTTTCTTCTAAACAGGTGCTTAAAAGTAGAAACACAATTTCAGAATTCAGTATATATTAGGACAGCTCTTGGTGCACAGCAGAATAAGGGGGACAAAAGAATAAAATGTTTCTTTTAAAGAAATGGCAAATAAAAACCAATAAAGGAATAATAGGTTTTTTATAAAGTGTGCACATCCTAATTCCAGAGTCTTCAATGCAGAAGTATGTCTCTGGATATCATCTGACAATGTTTGTTTGCTGACCAGCAATCCCTGTCAGTTCACTAGGCAGCCATAGTGCTCACACATACTGCACTCACAATTCAAGTATCACTAGCAAGAAAGGTTGAAGAGACACTAGTCCTCATTTACATGTGATGAAAGAAATGTCCTTCTGGGTTCGGCTCCAAGTGGGGAAAAAGACACTGGAGACATGGAGGCTGCTTGGAAAGATGGTTTATTGGTGGACAGGACCACATGGCTTGAGCTCCTGAGCAGAAAAGGTGATCACATGCTTCAATGTTGGTGGAGAAGAAGAGAAGGGAAGGGAAGGAAGGAAGACAAGCTGAGTCCCTGGTTTAATGCCCTCTCTGGCCTTTGATCTTGATCTTGTATTCT